TCATCTTGGCAAACCTGAAGATATGATCCTGATCCTCCAAAACGCAACCCTTCTCGGAAATCAGCGCCCTGACCTCCTAACAAATCTGATGAACATGTCTCTTGTACTGCGCCGGCCATGCGAACTGCATCTTTCCAGATCCTCTTCAAATGTCACACACCTGCCATCGGTTTTGGAAATGCTACCAAACCCTCACGTTTTGCTCACTTTTGGCAAGGTGCAGAATCCCTTGCGCCTGCCACGCAAAAGCACATCCTAACTTCAAAAAATGCTCCAAGACCGCCCATTTTTACACTTTTGACTTCGACATGTGCTTCGCACAACGGCGTGCACTTTTTCGACATTTCAACTTCCAAAAGCGGCCCGACACTGAGGTGCTTTGTACATTTTGACTTCGACATGACTTCGACATGTGCTTCGCGCCACAGCGGTGTGCAATTTTTCATCTCTCATCTGGCCAGATGGCTCCGCACCCGTAGCTTTAGTGAGCCTACTTTTCAATCCTCCGGAGCCACAAATCATTGGAAAAACACAGTGAATCGCGACTTTTCTACCTTTTCGCGCACCTGCATCTCCTTTCTTCTGACTCTTTCTCTTCTCTGATCTTCTCAATTTGTCTCTTCTCTTCTCTGACTCTTCCCACCTCTGCTTTTCCATCTGTCCATCTTCTCGGAAGCTTGACTTCTAAACTTTCCTCGATTAGCAATAATGTGTAAGTGTAATGCATATGATATGTATTTACTTTCATAATTGTCCATATTACGAGCACAAGCTTTACCAAAATCTGGAACCACTGAGGCAAGACACATCTTCAACCCCCCGCAAAGTGATCTCATTTCAGCTGCAACTTGCAAATTTTCAGTGTGGCCTCCTCGTGCCAATAGCAAAGGGCTGTATCCTTGGAAGAAAGGCCTTGGAAGCGGCCAAACAAGAATTTCATCAACATCTCGCACCATGCACATGGGGAAACAAACAAGGGGAAAAAACGGAAAACAAGCTGAACCAGACTCGGAATATACTGGCGCAGAAACATTTTCTGGATGACTGCGCCTACGTGGACTCTGATGTGCTGGGTTCAACCTCATACTGATACCGGTATCAATAAAAGTGTCAATACGAGTGCCTGTGAAATATGTAAAATAAGGTGTTTCATCACCATCAAAGTATCCTCCTTTTGCAAGCCTCAAATTCTTGGACGTCATCCAAAGATTGTCGAACAAGGTCGAATCTGTTTTCGCTGTGGTTTCCTGGCCTACTGCAAACCGATCACCATCTGGAGACCAGGCTGCACACAAAGCTGCACCTTGGCAGCGAAGCTTGTTTCTACGGTAGTTCTACGTTCTATCATGTTCTATCAATGAGCACCAAAGAAAGGTCAAACAAATGGCCCAGTCGGTTTAGAGCTAGAACTGGTCCAATGTGCGGTCGGAAACTCTAGTTTGACCCAAGCCTACACAATGCAATGTCCGGGCTCCAGCACGCTGTGCCTTAAGCTCAACGTTGGAAGGCCTGTGGTGATACAGTATGATACAGTATCAGTGAAGTCTGGGTTATGATCTTGGTTGATGGTACAAATCCAACAATTGCATCCGTTCAATGCTTCATCCTTGCGCTTGCTACACTGGATAGGATCTCCAGTGGCACATTTGCATTCGCATTGGAGGGCAGAAAAAAATGTTCCTCAAAAGATCTCAAAAGTAAGTTTTCCACAGAAAGGCGACATCAACGGGAAGTTGCTATGGCCTCCATTTTCCATCGCTGTCTTGCTGCCAAACAAAAGCAGTTCGGTCCTAACAAGAGTGAGTGACATCAATAGTGTAGTGAGCGTCGAAACACTTGGCTGGCACGACAATTTGTATAGCTGCATAGCTCGGGACAATGTGAACAAGTCTCTGGATCTTTGGGTGTTGTGATTTTGGAGCTGTGTGCAAAAACATGAAAGCTCGTTCGAGTGGACGCGTATACTAAGTACAGTCTGGACACGCCAGAAACGGAACCTTCCCAAGTGCTGAGCAGCTTGTAGTATTAGCAAAGAATGAGAAGGTATGCTAAGTCCTTCTGTCCAAGCGGGAACTTTTGCTGCGTCATCACCAAGCATGATTGATTGTTTTGAGCGATTAATACTGCAAACTGTAAACTGTAAACTATTCATCCCAACGTTAATAAATTCTGCGTTTGGTCGGTCGACAGATTCATAAATCAAAGTTTGATTGCCGATTGTTGGTTGAGTGGTCTGATTGAATGGTTACAAGGATTCAGATGGATTCAGTGGATGCTCTGTTCTGGTTAGTAGATTATGTTATTGGTTGACTCAGCTGTTGATTGACATTAAACTGATTGCTGATGTGCTGGGTTGGATTGTTGGATGGTTGGAAGCTCAATTGCCCATTGGGTGGCTTTATTGAATGATCAAAATAAATGATCGATGGAGTGATATATTGACTGATTGAAGGATTGTTCAAATCAATGGTTGTTGGATTGATTGCTGGCGGCAACAGCACACTAGCAGCCTTGACACAGCCACTACAAGTCGCATGAACTCCTGGATCAATAAACACCATATAGTAGCATGGCCACTGGTCCATAGCTGAGCATGAATGAACATGAATCCAACCGTGAATCCGTCTGCATGGCACCTGCCGCCAAAACAGCCCCACTTTCAGATGCGCAAGCCAGCAAAATGCCCGAAAACATGCGAAACCCAGCACATTGAGCAACGCTATCCTGTGACACTCCCACAGCACACGCAACCTGCCCCACACATTTCTCAGCTGTTTTTGGAGTGGTTGAGCGGCAGTGGTTGAAGAGCAGTGGATAGCAGTGGTTCAACGGTAGTTCAGCGGTTATCTGCGGTGATCGAACAGTGGCGGTTTAACAGTTGTGGTTTGGCAGCAGAGTTTGCACGGCAGTTCCATTTCTCTGCAGATACTGTCTGATAGCTGTAAACAGACTTTCCAACCCTTGCTGGGAAATATCTTCAAACGAAATAACGACGTTTCTGGTTTGGATGAAGCCACACGAAATGACAGTGCTCTTCATCGGTTGCTAATATTCTACCAGCTACCTCATGGACGATTCTCTTTGAGCGATCCCGGTAGCAAGCAGTGTGAGAACGACATAGTGTCTTGCAAACATTGTGAAAACGTGAGAAAAACCTGTCAAAATGATTCAAAACGCAGTGTTTTCCCTGCCGCTTTACTCCCCTGAACCCAATGTTTCCAATGTATGGGCTTTACATCGTGGACGGGTCCTCTGAAACGGATAGCAAGCGCCGATGGCAGGACCAGTCAAGCCCTGGGCCAAGAAAGCCTTCCTGATGCCTTCTTGAAGTTCCTTCAGTAACCTATAAAGTTCTTGAATCCTAAAATATTCTAAAGTTACATCATGTTATATCCCTTACATTCAAAAACTGATCCGTCAGCAGTGCATGGATCATTTTCGAGCATCTCCGTGTCCACCTTACACAAAGTTTGACGGGTTTCCTGCCTGTCACCCTCTGTGAATGCTTGGCCAGTACTGCATCCGCTCGCTGGTACTGGAGCAATGACAGCTAAAGTCAAGGAAATCTTGCTCACAAATCAATTGCCATTGTTGATGGTTGCCAGCTTGAGAATTCAACTTGCACCTTCTCAGCCAAGTGCAACAAGTGCAAAGGCAGCCGTCTCAATTATGTCCTGCTCTGAAACAAGCTCAAAGATGTAAATCTCTTCTGCGTTTGCACCTGGGCTCGAGCGGAAACATACGGAAAGCATCAAAAAGCTTTCCAAACACAGACTGAGCTGTCCAAAGTCTCTACTGCTCCAAATGTCTAAAGCGCTGGGTATGGATTGCTTGGATTGAGGACTTTTTTTAAGATCTTTTACAATAAGTTTGGCCGCGAGTACACCCAAGCTGCATTGCGGCAATGAAAATAGCTTCAGCGGTTCCTGCCAATCCACTGGGCTGCCACCCTCGCAATGGAGCCATCACTATTGGATTACAGAAAAGTAGCCAGGGAGCCTACGCAAGTCAATCAATGCTATCGAAGCTGAGAACCTTGCAAAGTGCCAGGAACTGTTCATCCAAAGAAATTGCCTTCAAATGCATGGACCGAGCAGCTTGGGCGAGCATGGATAGCAAACTCAGCCTTGTGCTATACAATCATGATGATTGCCTTTTGTTGCACCCCCTAAAATCTTTCCCTGCTGCGCCCTTAGAATATCTGCAATTCTCCGACATAGTTAAATGATGTTAAGTGATGTTAAACGATAATAATGTTAAATATTGCTAAATGATGTTATTTAAATGATGTTAAATATAAAATCTTAAATGATAAATGACGTTAAATGTGCGTTTGACGTTGTTCAACATAATATGATCCTAGCAACAATGCAAGACTAGAAGGGCAAACGGTGGATGGTCTAGACTTCTCCAACTCGCTACTGCGTCAAACCCCCTGTTAGATAAAGTTAGGTAACAGCCATAACCCACTTAGAGCAGTTATAGCTAGATATAAAAAAATAACAGGAGTCTACTTGAGTTAACTTGAGTTAACTTGAGTTATGCTTGTAACTTAAATGGAACGTGGGAACTCATCGCAACATATCGGTACGGAAGCTTCTTGATGTGTTTATACAGGAGGTTGCCAGAAGAACCTTTTTCATTTTCATTTTTAAAGCGTGCAGCCCCACCCCGCTGCACGCAGTGGCGCCCACCACCGACACGCAAATGCTGGCGCCTCCTATAAAAATGGAATGCCAATCAAAAAATGCAATGCCAATCAATATAATGCCAACAAGAAAAAAGCACACAGCTTCTCTTCGCTATAAGCAATGGCGCCCGGCAGCCAACGCCACTGCCAGCAGCCAATATACGAATGCCAAATTTGCCAACCAAAAAAGACATGGCGAGGTAATAGCAATAAGCATGGGTTTTAGCGGAGCAGCTGCACGGAGAGCAATGCGCAGAATCTTTCCATTCGCAAGCAATTAAGTTGTTGGAGCTTTGCCAACGGAACAATGTCAGGCACGCAGTGTCAAGCATGAGAAAGGGTCGAGAACCATAAGGCGCGTTGGTGAATCGCGCAGCCAACCAGTTGCCTCGCGCATATGGTCTGGCATGGGAATTCTTCCGGTTTCTTGGAAGTCAGATAAAATCAATGATTCGTGAATGCCAACTTTTCGAAACACATGCACGTGCAAGTCGCATCTGTTCCCGATGCGATACACTGCTTCCAGAATGAAAGCAAAAGTGCCATGCAACCAACATTCCCCTTTGGAGATGGTGCCAAACTTGGTTCTAATGCCACTACCCTTGACAATCATTGAGTCCAACTGTTGAGGAGCTTCCAACGCGCCCATCGCAAGCTTGTCTGTAAACATTTGGGCGCAAAGCAACCGCACCATGATTTGCTTGCAAAAACTTCCGGTCACAGTCAGTTCGGTAGCGATAGCTTTTGCTGCCTTGCTTTTTCGTTCCAAGGACCATGCATCCAAGAGATAGCCATCACGGAGAACTTGTCCTGGCAAATGGCAAGAATAGTGATGTTTTGGCAACAAGAGGGCATCTTTGTGCGCACGCGTGTGCGCTGTCATGAATTTTTCAAATGCTGTTTGGAAAGCGGATGCAGCAGCATCGGGCGATAAACCCTCGTACAAGTATTTGCTAGCAAAACTAGCAGATGCCACCTGCCATCCTGCGCGCAGAGATTCGATGATCCAGCGCTCGGTCTCTTCCAACCCTTCAAGGGAATGCTTGGAAACCAACATGACGCAAAAAGCCAAAACCTCCAATGTTTCCGCAGCGAAGCCTTTCCATCCACCATGACAAGTCTTTTCTCTGCCAGGAGTCAATGCAGCACGCAAGCGGCTGGCTGAGACATCGCCTCGGAAATGATAACCTGTGGCAGCAGTTTGCCGCAGCACCTCATAGGCCAGTCCCCGGGCATTCAAAACAGTCATCGTCGCATCTAACTCCACACTCAAGATCCCGTTGGCGAAGAGGCAATGCATGGCATCATACTTGAGATCCTGGTTTTGTTATAAGAAGTTAAGTTAGTTAAGATGAGTTATATAATTATTAGCTTGAATTGCTAACTCTTTGTAACTAGTTATAACTTTAAAAATTGCTTCTCCAAAACCTAGCCTTGTTTTATGTTTTTGGAAGAACCGAAGTGATTTTGGTAGGAAGATTTTTTTTAAAGCAAAGTGTTTTCCAAATAAAAAGAAAGCCAAATTGGAAAAAAACAAAAAACAAATGTGTATTTTTGTGTGTCTAACATTGTTTTGCCATCACAAGGCATTTGCAAACATTTCTTGATGGAAGAAGCCATCTTGGCCTTTGATGAGCCACCATGGCCTTTGAATGTCTGGCTGGAAACAACAGCTGCACACACAGACCTTTTCCTGCTATCTTCGACTGTAGCACTGGTAAGGCAACAGCACAGTGACTTGGCCTTTGCTTTGGCTGTATGGCACTGGGAACAAAATATTGCTCAAAGGAATGAGCCCATTGGAGGCTGTCACCTTGCATTTGGCATGGTATTGTTCCATTGTCTGTATGGGCCACAGTTGGGCCAAAGTGGTTTGCAAGCCAAAGACTTGGACATGCTTGATGGCAAGTGCAACTTTCCATTTGCTGGGGTCATGGCCTTCTGCAAAAATGATGGCATCTCCACCTGAAACTTGCCCACCCCTGGCCAATATGGCAACAGTGGAGCTTTGTGCTTGAAGGCAAGGTTGGTTCAGAAAAGGTGCCATGGCCTCTTGGACCTGTTGGGTGGCAGGCTTTGGTTTCCACATGTGGCAAACTTTGGGAAATAATTCTGGGTGCTGTAAAGTGCAAATTTCATTGGAAAGCACTTGCTGCAGGAGGTGCTTTTCATAACTGGTGGTTTTCTGCAATTTGGTTGCCAAAGCTGAAATGCTTTTGTGTTTCCGTTCTGCTGTGAAACAGCTTGGGAGATTGGAAAATCTGGACAATGCATCTGGTAGATGCAAATGCCAATGCCATTTCTTGATCATGGTTTCTTCTGGCCAAGCAACCTCAAATGCTGCATTTGCTCTTTCCACAGCACTCAACAAGGAATGCCATGTGGTAGCTTTCCATTGCACACCACCATGGCATTGGTCTATGACTTCTGACATGGCCAAAAAAGCATCTACTGCTTCCACAGCCAAACCTTGAGGTTGAATGATGGTGCACATGCAATGCCTCACTATGTGGTATATGGCCAAACACTCTGCTGCTGTGCAGCTGAATTTTCTGGCATTCTTGGATTTTTCCATTTTCTTCTTTTCAAACAATTGGTGAAAGTGGCTTGCTTTCCAGCCTTTGGGGTATTCCCAACACTGGAAATACTTTTCAAAGAAGCCATAGCAATCAAAGCATTCTGTGGCCAAGCTGGTAAAGAGGTGGTAGAGAACACATGGGGCAGTGCCCTGGAGCACTCCATGCATCCAGTCATGGCAGAACTGTGTGGCTGGTCTGATTATGCCCTTTTCCAGCAATGGCTGGTTCAACATTAGGGCATGCCTCGAATATGTCAAGCCAGTGGCTTGTTGCCACTGTGCAAAGGCCTTCTTGGTGCAAGAGCTGGACCTGGTATGCAATCTTTGGTAGCTGTCCAGCAACTCCTGGTCAGTGACAAGCCTGAGCTGGCTGTATTGAGTGGTAGCACAATGAAATTCATATGGTTCCTCATCTGCATGCTTGGCAACTTGGCCATGGACATTGGCACACAACAAGCAAAACTTGGTCCCTGAATCGCCTTTGCTGGACCAAACTTGCTTTTGGGCAGCACCATCTGCCAAAACCATGGATAAGTTGAAAAACAAGGTGGTGTCTCCACTGGTGGCTTTCAGCCTGAAGCCAAGCCTGGGGTCTTGGATGGGGCAACAGAAGATGCTTTGCAGCACATGGCCTATCATTTGGGCAATGCCACCACCCAGTGTGGCCACAAAAGCAGATCTTTCTACACTGATGGTTAGCCATGCATCTTCATGGGACAAATGGTCCCCAAACTGGAGAAAGGTGGCATAAATGGTCCACACCTTTCTTTCTGCCCTTCACAAGACATTTCCTGGGATGATTTCATCACAATATAAAATCAACCCCCATGGGTCACTGATGGTGCCTGGGCATTCTGCATGGTGTTGCTGGACAAGCTTGGTCCATGACCCATCTTGGCGATAGATGGCCATCATGTAAACCAATAGGTTGGCAAAAAACATGGTGGTGGTGGTGGTCCTGGATCAATGGACCCAAAGCTCCTCCATGGCAACTATCAAGAAGTTGGAGCCTGGCTTCCCTTTGTTGGTTGCTACTGTGTAGATCTGGTATTCCAGACTTCTTGGCCTTTTCGAGAATAGCTGCCAAAGCATTTTGTGAATGCTTGGGTAAATTGGAAGAGAATTGTAAAAACTCTGCCAGCTTGGCTTTCTTGGTCTTGGGCTTCTGGTCTGGCAAACCATTCTCTCTGGATCCTGTCCATGCTACTGTCAAATGACACAAAAAACAGGATATGATATGTATTTGGAAGTGGCAATGGTGTGAGAGCTCTTCAAGCCAAGAATGCATGTTGGATATATTCTATGGGAAAAAAATCTTCATTGCAATAATTGTCTCTCATGTTTGGCTTCGGGCATGGTCACCAGAAGAAAATATGTCATTCAAACTGTTCTGTTTGACTTCCAAAGCTGCTCAATCAAAGATGTTTGACTTCCAAAGCTACTTTATCATGAGCCAAAAGGAAGAGGTGACAGCTTGTTTGTACAAGGTGAAGGAGGACTTCGTGATATACCATTATAGAGCTACTTGCAAGGATATAATATGGAAAGAAGGAATGACTTTACCAGGAGTTGCATAGACATGGGAATGGTAAGAAAAGTAAGATGTGGCCAAAAGATTGCTTTTGCTAGAAGTGGCCATATTTGGCTTTTGAAGTTTATCTTTGTCTGCCGTATATAGCTTTTGGTACAAATGTCTGTCACCAATGCACGCTTCAAATGGAAGCCAAGCAGGCCTTTGGACAACAAAAAAACAAAGCTGCTGCTCTTTTTGTCGCTGGCTTATCAATGGCATCATACCCATGGGCTTGGCTGATGTTTTTGGGTATGTCTATCAGGTTGTCAGCATGGGGCTTTGGAGTCGCCCATGGATCATACTCTGGGGACGAAGCTGGAGACCTCACTGGAATCTCCTTTGAGGAATCTGGCTCCAACTTGATGGATTCCTTGGCTTTGGGCATAGCTGGGCCCTCTGGCAAACTGGCCTTGTTGGACTCGCTGGAATCACTGGTGGTTGCCTCTGGGTCCACTGTCTCTGCCATGGCTGCTGGTTTCTGTTGCCTCTTTGGGCTTCAGTTGGTGTACATATGAATATGTATATATGAAAGCAGCTAATTGAATATAAATATGGAGATATTGCATGGTATACTATATTGGTTTTGAGACTATCTTCCATGTAATGATGACATTGCACAGGTTGTGCCATGGTGTTTGATTCATCGATGGCTACTATAGTATATATAAATATAATTATATATTTAAATGACATGGCAAATTACTATACACATACCATAAAGGCCACCAAGGCTTTTTGATTTAACATCATGAAGGCCATTTAGGTTTTTGATACAATGCCATAAAGGCTATTTTGTATTTGGGCTTAATATATTGAATGCCAATATGTTTTTTGAGCAAAAAAGTAAATTCCAAAGACAATTAGAAAACACATATTATCATTGAACATTTTTTTTTAAACAAAACATTATTTATTACATTTTTCATGAATTATTTTCATTTGTTTTTTAAAAATATACAAACTGAAATCTTTCAGTTCCAGATTCACCATTCTTGACTTCAATTTGGTTTGTGTTTTTTTAAATAAAACAAATACATATTGAATCAATAGTATATTTTTATATAAATTAAAAAACATATTTATGATTTTATTTCTCAAAAAATGTTTCTGTTTTTTTTTATTTTGCCAACAAATCAAAATCTGCATCTAAAAATGTGGTTCAAAAAAGTTAGATTCAAATTCTGAATCTAAAATCTTTATTTAACAGAGTTAGATTCAGATTCTGAATCTAAAATTGCAAAAAACCAACTTTTAGATTCAGATTCTGAATCTAACTGTCTAAAAGTTGATTTTTAGATTCAGATTCTGAATCTAACTGTCTAAAAGTTGATTTTTAGATTCAGATTCTGAATCTAAAATTTTTGCCTTCCAGAGTTAGATTCAGAATCTGAATCTAAAAATCAACTTTTTAGATTCAGAACCACATTTTTAGATCTGAATCAGATTTTGATTTTTGAATCTAACTTTTTTGAAAACAAAATAAAAAAATCGAACAGAAACATGTTTTTGAGAAATAAATCATAAATATGTTTTTTAATACTTTATATAAACATATACAATTGATTCAATATTGTTTTCCTTCTTATTTTAAAAAACACAAACCAAATTGAAGTCAAGAATGATGAATCTGGAACTGAAAAAAATCAGTTTGTATGATTTTTTTGACCTTAAATTTAATTAAGATATATGAGCCGTTTTTACTATCAATTTCGAAAAAAAAATTGACTTAGTATATGTCTCAAAGTTCCTGGAGTCTGGAGGGTTTCCAGTTTGGAATTTTAATCTGAGAAGTGTATCTGATGCAACAAAAAAATAGAAACAAAGATTCACAAGAACTAAAGGTCCCATCTCAGTGTATTTCAACTTAGCTGGGTGCAGGTTGTACTGTGAGTATGAAATCCAACTGAAAGATTTCAGGTTAAACTTGTTCAGATAAAAATTCCAAACTGGAAACTGGAAACCCTCCAGACTCCAGGAACTTTTGAGACATATACTAATTCATATTTTTTTTAAATTGAAAGTAAAAAACGGCTCATATATTTTAATTAAACTTAAGTTCAAAAAATCATACAAACTGAAATCTTTCAGTTCCAGATTCATCATTCTTGACTTCAATTTGGTTTGTGTGTTTTTGAAATAAAATAAGAAAACTATATTGAATCAAAAACATGTTTTTATATAAATTATGAAATTTATTTATGATTTTATTTCTCAACAAAATGTTTCTGTTCGATTTTTTTTGATTTTGTTTTCAAAAAAGTAAATCAAAATCTGAATCTAAAAATGAGGTTCAAAAAAGTTAGATTCAGAATCTGAACGCCATACATGGCCAACCTACTCAAAAGCCATCATGACCAACATGAATAAATCATAGTGAAAAAAACTTGAATTTGAGAAAAGAATTTAGTTTTTTTGAAAGTAAGAAACCTTGAAAGAAGTGTATTTGATGCAACAAAAAATAAGAAACAAAGATTCACAAGAACTAAAGGTGCCATCTCAGTGTATTTCAACTTAGCTGGATGCAGGTTGTACTGTGAGTATTATATAAATCCAACTGAAAGATTTCAGGTTAAACTTTAAAGGATTTTTACTGACAAAAAAATCCATATTCTTTTCTCAAATTCAAGTTTTTTTTTACTATGATTTATTCATTTTGGTCATCATGGCTTTTGAGTAGGTTGGCCATATATGGCTTATTCATGTTGGGCACAGTGGACTGCAGTGGGGTGGCACACGCTTGGACACCTGGGTATATGGCTGCAACACAACTTGGTATGAAATTGATACAAGGCCTGGCCTTCTGGCCTTCTGGCATCATACCCATGCTGGCCCATGGCAACCACACTTGGTCAACTTTGGCAGTAACTGCAGTGTTGGGCTGGTGGCTGAGGTGGAACCAAAACAAATTCATGGATTGTAGCTTGCTTGGCCCACATGTGCTCAGCTCCAGTGTGTGGACATATGGTGGCTGTGAACTGCCATGGTTGGCCTTTGTTTCATTCTGTAAGCCATTGTTGCCTTTGTTGCATCCTACAAGCCAATGTGGCTTTTGTTGGTTAACCACATGTGGTCCTTACATAAACAGTTTCTTTGCCTGAGTCTTGCAATGACAAAACTCTGAATGAAATTCTGGGTGTGAGAAAAGAAACAATATCATCCAGCAGGCATGCCTTTGCTGCCTCTGCTTTCACGTGCCTGAAATGGGTGTGACTGGCAGACAAGTGAAACTTGTGGAGCTTTCTGCTGCTCTTGGCTGATGCATTCAGGCGGTCTTGTTCTTCTTTCTCTTCTTGGCTGGTGTTGGGTCTTCTCACTGGTCTTCAATCTCACTGGGCAGCACCACCCAGCTCCATCCCTCTGTAATGCACTTCCAACATGGGTCATTCTTGGGAACATCAGGTTGGGTTCCAGCTGGTCCAACACAATGGTGTTCCAGAGCTCTCAACAAGGTCACAGTGTGGCTGGCACTCAAAGACAAATAACCTAGGAAGTGCAATGGTCACTGAATCAACAACTGTATTACCAAAACATTGGGAATCAGTATATGCAGTGGGGCTGTCTTTGTGAAAGCTTCAGCATGGTGGCTTCATATGGGTCATTTGCAACAACCAAGGAACGTTCCTGGCCAGTGAGAGGTGCAAGGTGCCCAATGCCTTCCTGGAACAATTGCTCATTCTTGGATATCTGGACCTTTCTTTTGGCTTCATCTTTGGACATCTCTATGGCCATGGAACCCTGCAAAAGGTTGGTCTGGATTCCAACAGCCAGCATGGCCATGCCCTTGCTCCAAGCATCATGGTAGGACACCATGGTCCCACCCCTGTTGTCAGGGTGGCATAGAATCTGTGATGGTCTGAGGGCCACTTTGTGGGCCAACCCATGGGCTTCCAACAGGTCAATGACCTGGTTGACTTTCTGGTTGATGGTCAAGGGGCCATCCATCATGGCTTTCACTTGGGCAGCCACTTTGTCCACCATGGCTGGTTGCAGGAAAGGCTTGGCAACCCCTGTAAAAATTGTCTCTAAAAAGGCATGTGCTAATGGTGCAACTTGGCTGAATGCTGGTCTTTTAGGCCAGAGCAGCAGCAGCCTTCAAAAGCTTCAAAAGCATCATGTGATAGACATAGAAACTGTGGATTGAAAGTGGTTTTTCATCATGGGTTTTGATGACCATTACTGCTAATGATCATGGCCATAGAAAGGCTTTTTGTAATGATAGGCATTGTGACCATATAGGCCAAACAGTGGCTTTTGCAATTGTTTGCTGCAACTTGCATTTTTTTGGTCACCCCTGCTATGGTCACCTGTGGCTTCAGTCTTTCTTTGTGCCTTTGTAACCCCTGGTGGGTTCCTGCAATGCAGCTTGGCAGCCAGCTCTCAAATGGCCAATGACTTGCCTCAATGGCTCTGGCTCCATGGCAACATACAAATCCCACTTGGAAGGCCTTTGGCCACCAGCCAAGCATGGAATCTCAGTGGAACCCAACTGGATGGTTACCACAAAGTTGCCAAGTTCTTCCATGGTATGGGCTTTTCTTTTCTTGGTGCTTGGCTTCTGTTCACCAAACAATTCTTGGCCTTCTTGGGGATCTTGTGGTGCTGCTAAATATTCTTGGATCTTCTCATTCCTGGCTTGGATCAAAGCTTGCAATTCCTTGCTCTTGGACAAACTGGGGTTCTTGGGCAGCTTGCCACCACATACCAATTGGCAAATGGAGTAGTTAGTGGCTCTGAACTTCAAGAATTTTTGGCCTTGGTGCTCTTCAACCAGGTCTGCAGCAATGGTCACTGGTTTGTCCTCTTGGTACTTGATTTGGCAGCGGAAGGTGATGTCCACCATGGCTGGCTGCAACTTGCTGGTTCCCTTGGGTTGGCAAATCCTCATTAAAAAAATATTGGGCCAATGCATGCCCACAGAAACATGTGGCAAAAGATGTGGCCAAAACATGGCTTTTGCTTTGACAAGCTTTTGCATGTTCATCCAAAAGGAGAAATCATTTTTGACAATTTGCAAAACAAAGATATTTCTGGGGAAACAAATTCTCAATTCATGAGGGAAAAAACAAGTTTTTTTAATGGTGTTTTTTTCTTTTGGTATGCAAATATATGGTGAATGTAAATATTATGGAAGAAAATAAACATTCTTGGTAATTGAGAATGGTTCAAATCAAGCTCTAAACAGATCTGGAAAATTATACAGAGTTTACTTGAGTTAAGTTAGTTACATAATTTCATCAAAAAGTTAATAATTTAACTTAACTTATGTTAAAAATTACCACTAGTAGTACATAGTTAGGACCTAGTTGTAAATTGTTAACACATAATTGTAACTAGTTGATAAATGAACATAACTGATTCTAACTATGTTAACTCCTTACAAAAAAAACAGGATCTCAAGTATGTCCAGATTGACATGGGCTTCATCCAAGTGCGACTCTCCTTTTGAAAGATCAAACCGTGGTCGTCATAGGTGAAGCCATGTGATTTTTGCATCCTGAGTACATGCATGGACGCGCGCAGCAAAAATATCACAAAGATATATGAAAAAAACAGATGAAGCTGGGGCAAGCAGCAATGTGAACTCACCCTTCTTCGAAACCACTGCAGCATTGGAAATTTTGGTTGTCAGCGCCCAGAATTGATCGTCGTCCACGGTTAGCCACTTGGCCGAATCCGTACAAGTAACAGACACGCAGCCACGAAACTGTCTTCCGACACCCACAACTGCGACGCATTGGCCACAAATTTTGACTCCAGCAGCGCCTATTGGCAGAAAAGCAATATAAGAAAAAAAGAAAATCCAAGTACTATATTTATATATACACACAAAAAACAATTAATATATTATAAAATAAATATCATAACAAAGGTCGAAAAAATGATGGACGCCGTCCTTTCGTGTTGAAAGTATCTTTCAACGCTGCTTCGTCTCCGAGCAATTTTTTCAACACCAGCTGCTTTCGAACCACAGAAGAACCAAGGCAGAATTGCAGAGGCTCTCGATACAGCTGCCGTAGAATGTGGAACAAAAACCCAGAAACTCCGCCAGCGACAGTCTTCAGCTGATGACTTCTAATGCAAGTCACAGGCAACCACATGTCGGCGTCATGAGCCGTGGCAACATCGGCGTTGAAGTGCAAATATGCAATGAGCACCTTGCGTGATGGATCCAGGGCGACGACATTTCCACCGGTGAACTCATCATCATAAAAGCTAGTGGCCACGCGCTCCTCGGTACAATTTTTTTGCGCCGTGGCATCCCAATCTGCGTCGCGAGACGCCAAGCAAGCCAGCATCTTGCCAACATCCGCCAATGGTGCCCCCCATGATGTGCCATCGATCAAGGGGATATCGATTTCTGTGAAGCAAGCATCAAACATGCTGTGGAAAGCCGCTAAACGATCTTTTTTGATGGCGCTGCCGGATCGACCTGCAAAAGCGTCAGGATGCGCCGTCGCATGAGCAATGATATTGCCAACCTCCTTGGATGATGTTTTTGCGAGGCCAGCACGAAGGTAAGTATCCATGTGTTTTCGCTTCATGGCGCGCGCTATATACGCCAAGAAATCCCAGCTTGAAAATGGGAAATGTGTCCAAAACACAATTTCTCAGGAAGCCGAAATGACAAAGCAAGGTGGCATACAGACTGCGTGCGGCGAAGTGTTCGCAACCTCTGGCTATGCCAATTCAAAAAAAAATGCTATTTCACCCATATAGCCATCAATTTGCCAAGAAAACAAATCAAAATACCAAAAAGCGGTTGTGATCCCAATGTTTTCGAACTTCTCAATGCGAAGAATCACGAAAAACACTGGCAGCCACATATTTTCCACAGCGTGGCGCAAGGCAATGCTCTAATTGGTTCGCTCAAAGTTGACGACAGATAAATTACTAATGCGACAGCAGCGGCACCGGAGGGAGGACGATCCAACGGCACCGTTTGTGAATCTCTTTGCCGAGCACCTTTGCCAAGCGAATGGCAGCGGCCGATTCCTTAGTGAATGCAGCCGCCGTGATTCTGGAAGCATATATTTTCTGAGTAGCTATATCAAGGCAAGACGCGCATTGGATCAAATAAAGGTAGTGGCGCCGCAGCCGGGAGATTGGCAGTTGGCGGATGAGGCGCTGCTGCTGAGCTGCTTTGGTTGTCAAGGTCTCCACCATGGTTGGTTTGCGCGGTGCTGGCGCTGGTGGCGGTCGCATCATTTGCAATGTTTGCAATGGCTGGATCAAAAAAAACTGCAGCAAAAACCATGAACCAAAAAAAAAGCGCGACCCAAAACAAATGCGTTGAATTGGCCATGCGGCTATAGTGTCGCCGCTAAAATTTTCCGCTCGCTTCGCAATGCCTCAGGCTATCTCAAAATGCCAAAACGCTGCTAACGGTGGACGCTGTGATCCATGCAGCCTGCAAAACAATATAATTACACTTATTGTACCACTCACGTTGCGTCCTCGGCCTCCGTGTCAGACTCCTCAAGCTTGTTGCTGGCGGATTGAATGATGCCCCTGGTCGCTTCGTGAGTTTCGTCCATGGCTTCCTTCACATTCTTCATATCATCGTGGCCGGCTTCGTCCATCTGAGGATTGGCGAGCTTGACATTCCATTGGTCGATCTTGTCCTTCAACTCATTTTCACATTTGTTCAAGATGGTCATGATCTCATCTTTGGAACCCTTCAAGGAAGTACGTGCTTTGAGGGCGCTCACCATGCCGATAAGTTCCAACAGAGATTTCATTTTCTTCTGGCACGCCTGGGCCACCTTCGGCACCAAACGATCCCAATTCGAATCGCAATGCCTTTCGGACCCGCAGGCCCAGCACCATCATCCGGAACGGCAACCTGGCACTGCTCAGTCTCGGAGACCCTAGCCGCGATATGGACATGCTTCACTTCGCTGTAGTGGAAAATCAATTCGCCTGCCGCTGCCCATGTGGGATTTGGATGCTGACTCTGGGGGTATCTTGCCAACTCCGACTTCACATAGTCCGAATCATCAGGCAAATGAGAAATTCCCAGCTTCTCCTTCATCTGGTACCGATTGAGGTCCATCGTCGTTGCCTCTGAACCACTGGAAGTAGTGTCCCGCTCCTTGTGCATCAATTGAGTACACCAAGTAAGCTTGCTATCTTGCATGAATTTCTCCAACATATCATTCCTGTCGGTCTTGAGCTTTTTCATCGCAGTACCCCAAACCTCTTTGGCTTAATCGGTGTTGGCCGTTTTCAAATTGTAAGCTAACTTCGAGTGCAGCTTCTTGTACTCAGCAAGTTGAGTATTCGTCATTCCTGCCGAGAAAATGCGTATTACTCGAAAACAATCAGCGCGGAAAAAAAAAGTCATTCAAACACCACGTTTTTTAGACTGGAGATCCTGCATCGACACTTCCAGCTGCAGCCTTTGCTTTTGCCTTTGCTGCGTTCTTCTTGGGCGCCATGGCGATGAACAAAAAAAAATCAGCGGTCCGCTTGGAGTGACAATCGAACTTGAAGTCCAACGTGCTGCAAAAATATTGCACATATATGCATGCAAACATGAAAATGGTGATTGCCAATTTACTATGGAATTGTTTTTTTGCTGGCATGATGTCATTGTATTTCTGTCTTTCGTACATGAAAAAAAACACAAAGCGGAAAAAAAAAACTAATACAATTGAGCAGCCCCTCCCCGCTGCCCAAGCTGGCGCACCCCAACAAACTCACTCCAGCGCCCCGCGTGTGCGTTTCAAGCGAAAAAAAGTAAGAAAAATAATTGACATGTTGCAGGTTTGAGTATACTTTAACATTCAAGTGTAGTATTTGTTTGCGTTTATAATGTTAATCTAAATTTATAGAAATATATTTTCTGTTGAATACTTTAAGAAAAATATACCAGTTAATGTTTCTAATTAAAGATATATTATATACATCACATTATTTATGTTTTTTTGTGATATTTACAAAGTGAGCATCTAGAGGCATGCAATTTATATATGCCTCAGGAAATTGACAGAGCAATCAAACGTTGTCACCTGAAAGGTTTTGTTTTGAATTATAGGAATTTTATTATTTATTATATATTTTTATTAGACAATGTTAGTTCGCCTCAAGAATGAAAATGTTGCATTCACTGTAAACACATGTGACAATTATGATATTATCAAAAACCAAATCAACATGAAAATTCAATATTTAAAACCATATTCAATGTTATGTTTTTATTTTACATCAAAAAAACGCATTTTAAATTCTATTGCGTTCAATATACATATATTTCAAAATACATTAAATTGAAGTCAAATATTTGCAAACAAAACATATATTGTTTCATGTTGCAATATCAGAAAAATAGAAAATATATGTTTTATTTATAAATACGTATTCAAGAAAATGTTGTCGAGTAAAAATCATACGATGAAAATTGCATTATGTTCATATTGCAGATACAATGAAAAACTATATTAACTTTTTTTTTATCATTGCATTTTTCAGTTACTTAATATATTTTTGAGTATTTTTGAAAAAATATTTTACTTTCAATATTCATTTGCATTAAAAAAAAATTCTATTTTTTTGTAAATTTGATTTATTTATGAAAATTGCATATATATATATACATATGTTTTTTGGATTTTTCATTTTTTCTCATTTTTTTAAAAAAAGGATTTCAATTTTTTCCTGAATTCTTCATTTTTTCTGAAAATATGAGATTTTCAGATTTTTTTTATCATTTTCAGTTTTTTTTAATGAAAATATGTTTTTTTTCTGATTTGTCCATTTTTTTTATCAAAAAATCTGAAATTTTCATATTTTTCTGATTTTTTCAATTTTTTCAAAATTTTTGCAAAAATCGCAAATTTT